AATGAGTTTTTATATTTATCGAATAAGATTTTAAAAAGTAATTTTCATGCGTACAAATTCCTTGTCAATCGGGGTCATGACCGAAATTTAGCAAATTTAGGAATTTTCTAGTTAAACGGGTATAACATCACGCCATAAATTATGTAACATCTAGATTTAGTAATTTGTATTTCATCATATGTCACAATATCATGGTAGTTATTTTAGAATCTATTAGGGTATAATTATATTAATATTCTTCATCATCATCGGAAGATAAAAATTCTCTTCGTACGAAATATGATAGAAATGTGGATTCAATTTTGATATTGAATTCTTTCTTAATCAATTTAGCATTAATCGTAATTTAATTAGGATTATTGGTGAGAATGATGAGAATAATAATAATGATAATTCTTAACAAAAATTTGATAAATGAGAAGAAAAGGGAAAAGATTATCAACTGATAAAATAGAATTGTGAATTTCGGTCAATGGTGATTATATATATATTTATATTTGATCGAGATTAGTTTAATATTTCTTATTGTTAAGAATGTGATATATTATTCACTTTTAATGTGATATCATGTATACAAATGTCTAGTGCATGGAAAGGTATGTATGGGGAGTGAATGTGTTGCGGTGTTGTTATGAGATATTGATTTATTTATTTTAAATATTTTTATATTATTAATTCTTATTCTTAATTATTTTTAATTATTTTATTTTAATTATTTCAATAATTGATTTAATTGATTTAATGAGTTTTCAATAAGATGATGGTTATTGGATGAAAAAGAAATTATTGTGGAATGAATTAAACAATAGATTTAAATTTAGAAAACATATGAATTAACTAATTGATGAATTTGATAATGAATTTTGTTATTTAGTTATTGATTCTGTAGTTAAGTTAATTAATTAAATAAATAATTAATTTGATAATTTGATAATTTATTATCTTTTTTACCTAAAGTTTTTATTTTTTATTTTTTATTTTTTTTTTATTCTTTATTTTTTATTTTTTATTTTTTTTTATTTTTATTTTGTTATTTTTTATTTTTTAATTTTTAATTTTATTATTTTAGAAGATATATCATGATTTATTAAAATGGTTATTAGAATAAAGATATATTTAGTGGAAAATATTATTTATGAAGTAATGGTATGTTCATTGTTATTTTATCATTTTCCTAAGATTCTTTTTATTTCGAATATGAATATAACAAAAACTCAAAATTATCATAGTAAAAAATAATTTAAGATTGAAAAGGTCATAAGAAATGATGTCAAAAATTTTTTTAAATTTTGGAATTTGAATACTCAAAGATTAATTATTATTCTTATAATATTTATTTCTAAAATTTTTGCTGCAATTGATTTTTAACTGCAAATATATCTTCTTTTGAACAATAAATTTCAATATTGTGAGTATTGTGAGAATTTTGTGGCATGGAATTTCTTTAATTGTATTAATTGACAACCATCTTTTAACTCTTTAATTTTATTACTACAAAAAATTCGTTCAATTTGGTCTTAGACATTTTTATAATTCGTAATTTAATTGTTATTTTATTTTTAAATAATCAACTAACAATACTATGCACAATACACAATACATAAAAATAGATCTATAATCTTTTGCTGGAATTTTTAATGCTTGGATTACTGACATAATTAATTTTATATTTATTAAATTGATCGGATTTGACCATTCCAAATGAACTTATTATACTGACTGCATAAATTTTATAGTAAATTAGATAATGAATGGCATTATTATTATTATTATTATTAAGTATTATTATTATCAATTTATTAGAAGTTATGGCGGAATTAGAGGAGGTTGCAATGGGGAAGGAGATAAATTAATAGTGAACTTTTCTTCACGAAAAATAAATTTTCTTAAGAGATAAACACTTTATGATATGATTCATTTAAAAAAATTCATTTAGGTGGTTCTAAAGTAATCATTGAACCTCATAGACATGAAGGTAATATAATTTAATTATTTTTTTAATAAAATCTTTTTATTTCCATTAAAAATTACATAGAAATGTATTTAATAATTATTTTTATTTATTAATCAAATATTTTTATTGATTATTTCAATTTTAATGTGTTCACCAATGTTCTGAATGAAAAAACTAAAATAAATGTTGTACGATATTTTTTTAAAAAAAAATAATTATTATTATTTCTTTCATGTTTACGAATTAATATTAACAAAAATAATGAATTTTCAATCTTTTCATGTAAATGTTTGTCCCAATGACCATGGGTGGTTACTCTAAAAAAATAATAGCTAGTTTTTTTTTATTAAAAAATTTAAATAAATATTGAATCTAACAATTTATTGATATGATCATTTTTATCTTCCAAAAAGTAATTAAATTAACAAAGTAATCAAAGTAATTATATCATGTGTGAAATATTTATAATAGCAATACGATATGATGATTTACTAAAAGATTAGCAATAATAAATTAATTGAATAAAAAATTAGATAAACAAGATCAAATCATAATTAATTAGAATGTATGTAATCAGTCACGTATTTTATAAAATTATTAATGTGCCAAGATGTAATTCTATTGATTTTGGATTTTGGTCCATGCAAAAACGATATACTGAACATGCAGTTTTGATCGCATATTCAAGATTGCAGATTGACATGATTTTAATAATTTTGAACCACCTGCGTCAATCAAATAAAATTGATTATTCCATGATTAATCCTTCTTCACACAACAATACTCTACTTATCTATTCAAAATTCTTCCTTATATATGAATCTACTGATTTCAAGACAATCAAACCTATCGAATGAATCAATTTTATATAACAATAACTGCGGGCATTATTCTTCTATTTGCTTAATTATTATGAAAACTAAAACAAACAAGAAATTATTTGTGATATTATTCTTTCCCGAATATTTGTTATAGGTTATTTAATATAATAATTATAATAATTCAAGATAACTTATTTCAAAGTTAGTACAAAATATTAATTTATTGATTCATATTTTTTATTTTGTTTTGAAACGTGTTATTTTTAAAACGATTCACATTTAATTCGAATAATTTGATTCCATACTTTATATTTTATTACAATTTTTGTTCTGTTAGCATTCAATGTTTCGTATTTTATCAGCGTACTCCGATATGACTTTATCACTATAAAACATTTTTTGTACTTCATAAAATTTCTTGAAAAGATTATGATAAATTAAGCCAGATTATTCATCAGGTTGTTTTCACTGATTCTTTTTAGAATTTAGTTAGAGCCTTTTAGAGATAAAATGTGAATTAACTAATTAAACTTTTTAAATTGACTTTTCTAAAAACCGCTCGACTTTATCATTAATTGAAGATTCGGTTAAGATCAGCAGTATTTGCCGATCATTTATAATAAAATTGGGTTAAAGTTTTGAATCTGTCATGCGTAGATCCTATACACTAAAAATATATTATTTTAAAAAAATTGATTTTTTCAGCGTATAAGAAAATATCTTGAAAAATTCACCAGAATTTTTACAAAATGCCCAAATAATTATAGATGAAATTTAATATCTATTATTGTAAAAATTTATATAGTAAAATATACTCAATTATATATATATATAATATATAATATCGCCGATCTTAACCGTATCACCAATTAAATTTTATTGTATGATACAAGTTACATATATGGCCTTGAAATAGTTAGTTGACAATCACAGCAGTTTATTATTATACATAACAATTAATATTTTTAGCAATTCTTTAAGATACGATTCAATCGCTGTAATTGGTATTTAGAATTTTTTTTTTTAAAAAAAATTTAACATTTCCACTAAATTATTAAATATGTTACATATTATTATATGTTATATTGTCACCACCTTTGGGTCATTATATGAGATTTAAAATTCGAATCTTCGCCAAGTTGAGTAATATTTTTTTGTTATACATTTTATTCATGAATTGATACTAATTTTGTACATAAATTGCCCAAAATTAAATATGTAACAATTTCTCACGGATCAGGTAGATAACAATTTAAGTATCATTCAATTATAAGTTATCCTTTCCTTTTTTTTCTTAGTGCAGTTCTATTAGTCTATAGTTTATTTACAACCAAATATATTCCATCATATACATATAATTAATTATTCATTATTATGCTAGTCTGATGACTTTGAGAAAACAAAAAAAAAGATTAAAAACCATCAGTTACACAAACAAGTGGCGTGAATAATTAAAAATACACCAGTTTATATTTGATTAGTTCATATATTAAATAAAAATGTTAAATAATTTGTGGGAATATTTATTGAAAAAATATAATTAAATGGGTTATTGCTAAAGCTCACCGATGGTGATTGTCACCATCACGCAAAATTACATAATTACGTAAATTTAATTTTAGCTGATGGTGACAATCACCACAGGTGAGATTTAGCAATTTTCTATTTAAATATCTTGGGGACATTTTTCATAAAACCCGGACTAATGATTTAGTGACTATTAATCATTTTCTTAAAATTTAATCAGAGAAAATAATTACGGTCATCAAGTAATTCTAATCAGCAATCAATAATTATTACAACAACAGCATAAAGAATTGTGTATAACACAAGTATCGAAAATTTTTACCTAACTAATCAAATAATTTATTTTTTTATATAAACAAGCCTCGATTAATTGTCTTATAATATATACACAACTTAACAATCTAAAAACATATTTGCGATAAACACAATATACACATTACGTTATTTATATTGCGCACTCTTTACATCCAAACTAATATGCATCGTTCTTTTTTTTTTTAGAAAAGTTTAAATAGATACACTCCCTACAAATCTTGAAATCTCATTCCAACAAGGATTACTTTTTTAAAGACCTCCATATTAAAAATTTATTTTTTCATAAATTAGGAATATATATACCCAATCGCATGTGTCATATTTTTTTTTTTTATTTAACGAACAACAACTGAAACAATAGCCAAGAAAGATAATTAATAATCATGATTGAATATTTTAAGAAGAAATTTGTTGAATGGGGCATTATTGACAAGAGTCTTATGACTCCTTCTCTGGAACACAATTCTGAAAAGGCAATTCAGAAACAAACCTCTCAAGACTCTTATCAAGACACTTTGGAACATGGTCAAGAAACTCCAAGGTCTGAATTTCGGAGTTCCGATCAAAACATTACTGCCTTTGATAATGTCAGCAAGGCTTTCGCTGGTAGACTTTCTGTGACCGTCATTGAAGGACGCGAGATTAATGTTGCTAACTTTCAATCAAGAGCATACTGTGTCGTGGAATTTGGACAATGCGAAGTTATTACAAAAGAAGCAATCAGGCAAAATAACACTTCTATGTCACGAGGTGGAAAGTCAATGAATTTCTTGGATCTTGTAAGAGCTGATACTAGTCCTGTTTGGAAACAGAAAGCTGTCTTGTAAGTCTTCTTTTTATAGTTAATTATTATTAATAGATAATAAGTTATCGTATTAATATTCATTTATTTGTTATATTATCTGTTATAGTGACGTTGCACATCTGGATGGTGAAGTTTGTGTCTCAATTTATGAACGTGTTCCTGGTCACGCTCAACCCGAAATCTTTTTGGGAACGTTAAAAATTCAACTTCCAAAACATCCAAATCAAATCGTCGATGATTGGTTCAAGTAAGTAATCTTTTTTTTTTACTTTTTTTGTTCATTTAATCATCATATTATTTTAAATAGTTACAGATAATTAAATCATTTTTAAACTGTGTTATTTATTAGATTGTCTCCAAGAAATAAAGAAATTGTCACTGGTGAAGTTCACGTTCGGCTTTCTTACGAGAAAGTCGAAGTTGAGGTAATTATAACGTTTTTATTACATTTATATATATTAATATAAATATATTGATAAGTATCATTTTCAATTATACATTTAGAAATCTCTTCTTACGCCCTCGTCATTCGAAATTATAAAATTAATCAGAAAGGGTAACTTTGTAAAGGTCTTTCAAGTTCGAAAGAAAGACACAAATCGTACTTACACAATGAAGGTCCTTCAAAAGCAAGATTTAATTGAACAGGGTGAAGTTGAACATACTTCATCCGAGAAAAATAGTCCTATCCAAGCTGGCCAATGTCCATTCTTAGTAGGTCTAAAGTATTTGTTTCAAACAAAGTCTCATCTTTATCTGGTCACCGATTTCACGAATGGCGACGAATTGTTTTTGAATTTACAAAATGAAGGAAGACTTAGCGATGAAAGAGCTGAGTTCTATGCGGCAGAAATCGTTCCCACATTAGAACACCTCTACAGTAATGGAATCATCTATAGGTAAATGTTCATTTTAAAAACACATTTCATTTCACGTGATGTACAAAAGAACCAAACGTTTAAATTATTTTTTATTATAGAGATCTAAAATCCGAAAATAACGATCTTATTAAGGAATCCCAAGTATTAAAAAAAAGAAAAAATAAGAAAGATCCAATCATGGAATCCAATCCTCAATCCAAGTATTTTAAAAAAAAGATATTAAAAAAAAATTTTATCACGAAATCCATCCATCAACCCTTACAGAAATCATATTAAAAAAATAACGGCTTAAAAAAAAGGATAATTGAGATTATCCCGAGTAGATCGATCCCTAAATCATTGTCATAAAGTTATATAAAATTAGCTAAGATAAAATTTACCACCCGACTCACCGTCACCTGAAAGGAAACCATCTAAATTTTGAAAAATAATTGTGTTTTTATAATAACCGATCAGACGATTTTACAAAATACATATATGTTATATTTAATAAATTATTACGTTGAGGATATTTGTTTTTTTTTTTATTTGTACAAAAAATTATATCAACTGAAATGTAATACAAACAAATGCATCTTCGTGCATCATGTGTTAATGCTAATCAAAAAAATTCTTTTCGGGCATAAAATTTACTTATGAAGTATTTTAAATTTTATTCGTGTGTGTTCAGCCATTACATAATTATTAATTTTTATAATCCCAATTGAATAACTAAAAGGTGAATTTAAAAGAAGATTAATAAATAAAATATTTTATATTTCTGTATTTATAATGGACAAGTAAAATAATTATACAATTTAGGGCAAAATTGCTCCGGATGAATATTCTCCGAGGTCGAGAAAATTGCCTTTTACATTATTAGAATCTGAGTATAAATAATGTTTGTAACATTGCATACCTAAATTTCAAAGCAATTTTCATCTAACCATATGATGAACGATTAAATATTTTTTAAATATTTTTTAAACCACTTAATTTTAGACATCAGTTGTTCACTTTGAGTAATAAAATCATTTTGGTTTTTTTGCGTTGGAATTTTTTTGGTAAATCGTGACATTGCGTAACTTACAAAATTAAGATGATGATATTAACACAAAGGTCATTAGGTGTGATTTCATTATTAGGAGATTGGACTTTTAAGAAAATCGCTCATTTTTGGGAAAAAATAATTTTTAATTTTACTAAAAGTAACTCAAGATGTTCGTCATATACAAAGATTTCATTATTAAAACGACTTGGCGCATTTGAGTTTGTCAATATTGTATTGATCAAAAATTTGATAGTTTAATTCAGAGAGCACATGTTCATTTAATCTAGATAACTGTTTAAGTTTTTATTACGCCATCATGGATAATTTTGACAACTTGACTATGATTTATTCAACTGTTAATTCGTGATTCGCTAGATTTATATAATAGATTTCGGGGGCAACTTTTCACAATTATATATAAAAATAAATTTTTTAATCGTTAAAAAAAAATGGCATATTTCTTTATTTATTGACGTTGCCATTTGAAACTAAAAATATAATTAAATCAGAACCATTGCTTTTTATGATGTTAATGATGAAAGTGACTTTTATAAGATGATTCTTGTGATATTCTTATTCCGAAACGAGATTATGGTTCTTACACTGTTTTTAGATCTCTTTCCGTTTACGAATTAATAAACAAAATTTACATTTTGTTCTTATATTGTCAAAGGAGTGCAGAGTATTTCGAACAATTTCTCAAATCAGTCTCTCAGTTTGCATCACACAAACAAATAATAATACGCTCTATCTGCCAGTAGGTCACAGCTAATACAATCGATTTAACTGGCCTATCTCGAAACAGATAATAAATATAATAAATAATAATAATAATCAAATAATAATTAATTAATCATGAAGGCACAGTGAGTAAGGTGGAGTAAAAGTAGTAACACAGTATTAAACAATATTTAATAGTATTTTGCAATATTACGACACAAAATATAAGTTTATTAAAATATAAAATATAAAGTTTTTAAAAGTGAAGTATCAAGGTATTTCGAATTATTCTAAATTATTTCTAATTATTAATTTCTGATTAACTTGTGACTGTTATTAACTGACTCTCACTAACTTACTTACTCCCAACAACAGTCATATTTATACTTTCTCTTTTGTTTACACTTCATCCTTCATTCTCGTACGGCATATAATGGATGGCTACACAAAGATGACAATCACCTGAAAGTTCACAGAATATCATTCCCCGTGACATTTCACCAGATTACCAATTTGCTTCGCCACAATATCATGCATCATCCAATCGATTTATGCAGGCATCTGCTGAGAAATTTTTTTATGTAATAATGTATTATTTCAATTTGGTAAGGTACATACATATATCATTTACCAATTTTAAAAAGACTTTTATAAAAAAACAAAAGAAACATATATCACACATCTCAAAAAAAATAAAAAATTCTAACGTGAAAATAAAAAATAAAAAATAAAAATATTTTATTTATCAAAAATATAATTAATTATGTAAAATAATATAACAATAAATAATATTAATTAAACAGAAAATTTAATTAATTAACGAAATGAACAATTGAAATAATTGTTTCGAGGCTCGTTTTTTTTAAAAGGGAAGGGCTTTTACAAAAAATGAAATGGTGATCATCAAAAGAACAAATTGATAATACTACAAATCACAAAAATAAATTTGTTTTTTTATTTTTTATTTTATCATCCAAATTGATTTATTTAGAGTAATGCTTATTGATATTTTGGACTTCTGTATTTTATTTTATTTTTTTTTCGCGTTCACTTTGTATTATGTATTTTATTATTTTATTATTTTTCTTCCTACGTACGAAAATAAGTTTTCATTTTACCTACGAGTCATTATTTATTTTATTAAAATCAAAAAAAAAACACGAAAATCACATAACATTTGTAATTTAAAGTGGCGTTACAAAAAAAACAAGAAACCTGCAAAGTGCATCACATAATATGTAACGACTTGGTATCAGAAAAAAAAAAAAATTCAAAAAACGAAAATAAAGAAAATTAATAATATTATTATTTATTTTATTATCCAAATTGAAAAAAATAAAAAAGGAATAATTCCTTTAAAATCTATTTATTTTCTATTATGAGCTCATAGCGTTCTAAACCATTTATTATTATGATAATTGTTACATAAAATTATTAGCAAAAATTATTTTGGAATAACAAGGAAAGTACCAGCTGAATAAATATGACGCTCCCATGGAGTGGTGGCAGTGTTAAGAACCAAACAACCCATCTTATATAAAACGTTGGGAATCGTATCTAAAGGTAATTCATACTCTAAACTTCCAGATTCGAAATTAACAGCCACACCGTCATTTGGGAAAAATTTCGACGAAAAACTTTGTCCTTGTGGAATTACTGCGGGTTCAAATAAAAAGTGCTGTACTCTGAATGTAGAAGGATCTGCACCTGGAGGAACATAACTCTTTTCAACTTTCCATTTCGTTTCTAATGTATCTCCTACTTTTATAACACCACCAGCAACTGGTTGAATAAAGGAAATACCATAATCGGGATCGCCAATTTCGAAGGTTGCAGAATAATCACCTCTCGCTCCATTCTCAAATATGGTGAAATAGTTTTGAGGACTTGGTTTTACGAAATTACCAGATGATGGAATTGTAACTTTAATTTCATTGTGTCCGGCGCTTAATTTGACATTTGTTTCAAGAACTTGATCGAAACCAGTTAATCTTTGTCGTATATTAATATTAATAATTCTTTCCGAGGGGGAAATTATTTGAAGGTTTACTTGTTGACCAGGGCTAAACTTTTTTCCAGCAACGTTTGCTACAATCCAAGGAATTTTGATTTCATTTGAAACTGGAATTGCCAGCGAAGAAATTACATGTAAACAAATGATTGATAAGATTGCGATAAAAAAAGTTTTCATTGAGGACATCTTTATTATTTTAAAAAAGAAATTAAAATTCTTTTCGTAAAAAAAAAAAAGGAAAAATAACTGTTCTTATATAAGAGAATTTTATATTTTCATGAGAAAGATCAAAGAATTGTGTTATAAAAATTATTGTTCATTGAGTTATTGAGGGAAAACGCCTTCGATTACAAATTTAGTAAATGAATTACATTTCATAATCGACAATAAATTTAATGCATGAAATAATGATTCTCAATGAGAGGAAAATTCAGGTGGAAAGTCTTTTACCCATAATTAGTATATTATTTATATTATATGTAGTACATCCTCAGTAATTTTTATATTTTGTTTTTCACTTTAAATGAATTTCTTAGAACGAGGCTCCTTTGCTAAGAAAAAAAAAATGTATGCATTTACATTCCTTTTGTTTTGTAAATGCACTCTCATAAATAAGCCGTACAAGGATTATCAATGAGAAAATTAAGGGGTTCGAATTTATTGGACAAAAGAGAAATATTTATGGTGTCTATAATATAACATCTGGAATATAAAGCAAAAAATATATCATTATCCTTTGATCTACTTCTGGAAATGAATTTAAAAAATCATAGTGAAATTAAATGCAGAGGTTTCTGCTTTAACAGCTAAATATGTCCTTACATTATTCATATCATTCAATCTAAAGATCAAAACTGCGTGTATCCAGTTAAATTTTAATTTTTGTTAAGCATTAGATTTGAAATTTCAATAGAATTAAATAGAATTACGAATTACTGATCAATTTTGAAATACTGATTTATTAATAATGTATTTAAAACTTTTTTTCGTGCAAAGTGATTTCGATGCATATTTTATTATAATTGACAATTGACAAAAAGAATATTGGAATTAAAGATTGAAATTTATTAAATAAGGTTCCATTCGTTGTACTAATTTTTTTTTAATAAACTTTATTCCAATTTAAAAAAGTTATTATCAAATGTTCATTTTACAATCAATTACCAAAATAAGAGAACTCGCCAATTATTTTATGCATGCACATGTATCTAATGCTGATTGATTTACATCAATTCATAAATATTAAAAAAAATAAAAAATAAAAAATAATTATTGTTTGGTAGATTAATTTCATCTCATATTGCAAGTTTACTTTCGGTCTCGTCAAACATTATTTTTATGATTTTTTCGGTAGGATTAAAATTTTCAATAAGGTAAATTCAGGGAAAGTGTTTATATTAATTTGTACATTTGTTAATAAATAAATGTACACACAGAGAAAGCCGTACAGAATTGTAGAACGAAAGAGAAATATTTATAACTTTTCTATTATGAGCCCAGAGTGTTCTAAACTTCTTTTTATTATTATGATAATAGATTTTATTTGCTATATAAAATAGTTAACAGAAAATTATTAAGAAATAACCAGGAAAGTACCAGCTGAATAAATATGAGACTCAGGTGGCATCGTTTGTAATCAAACAACTGAGTCTTGGGAATTGTTTCTAAAGGTAATTGATAATGTAAACCTCCAGATTCGAAATTAAGAGTCACAACGTCGTTTGGGAAATTTTGTATTGAAGACTGTCCGTTTCCTATTGCCCGTTTTGCAGGTTCAAATAAACGTATTATTCTGAATGTAGAAGGATCTAAACCCGGAGGAACATTTCGCTTTTAATTTATCTCCTGCTTTTATAACATCACCAGCAACTAGTTTACAAAAGGCAACACCAAAACCAGGTTTTCCAATTTGGAAGGTTGCAGAATAATCAACTCTCTCTCCATTCAGAAGTGAGGCTAAATAATTTTGTGGACTTGGTTTTACGAAATTACCAGATGATGGAATTGCAACTTTGACTTCGTTGTGTCCGACGCATAATTCGACATTTGCTTCAAGAATTTGATCGAAATTAGTTTCCCTTTTTCGTATATTAATATTAATAGTAATTCTCGAGGGGGGAAAGTATTTGAAGGGTAACTTCTTGACCAGGTTTCAAACGTTTACCAGCGGTGTTTGTTAGGATCCAAGGATCTTTAATTTGATTTGAGATTGGAATTGCCAGCGAAGAAATTACATGTAAACAAACGACTAATAACATGACATAAAAAAGATTTCATTGAGGATACCTTTATTATTTTAAAAAAGAAATTAAAATTCTTTTGAAAAAAATAATAACCTGTTCTTATATAAAAGAATTTTATCTTTTCGTGAGAAAGATCAAAGGGGTTTGTTATAAAAATCAATAAATAATGCATGATAATGACTCTCAATTCAGGCGAAATATTCTTTATATGTACATTTTGCTTCTCTATAATTTTTATATCTGCTTTTTATTTAAAATAAATATCTTGGAACGAGGTTCCTTTGGTGAGAAAAAAAAATGTATGTATTTAACTTTTATTTTGTAAATAAATAAATGCACTCTCACAAATAAGTCGTACAGAATTACCAATGAGAAAATTTTGGGTTCCGAATTTAACGGCGAAAGAGAAATATTTATGACGTCCATGATATTAAAGCGAAAAAGAATATGTACATATATCGTTATCCTTTAATCTACTTTAAAGAACTGTATTGTAAATGAATTTAAAAAATAATAGTGAAATTAAATGCGATTTCTGTATTAACAGTTAAATATGGTAACTTTACATGATCTGTAATGTACCAAATTTATTCATATCATTCAATCAAAAGATCAAAACTACGTGTAGTCAGTTAAATTTTAATTATTTAAATCATTAAATAATTGAAATGTATTAGATTTGAAATTTCAATAAATTTAAATAGAATTACGAATTACAAACCAATTTAGAAATGCTAATTTATTAATAATGTATTCAAAGAATTGATTTCGATGCATTAATAAAATAATTAATAATTCATATTTTTACTATTAATAAACCATTGTCAAAAGATTTGATAAAAAGAATATTGGAATTAGAATAAAAGATTAAAATTTATTAAATAAGGTTCCATTCGTAGCGTTCTTTTTAAAAGTTTATACTAATAATAGATTTTATATTTTACTTGATACTGTAACAGCAACTTTTATTGGTATTACTACATAATATTTAGATTATTTTTTTAAAATCTTAAAATCTATTGATATGACAAAATAAATATATCCTAATCATTAATAAAAATCATACCAGTGTGATTATCGACCAATAAAAATAAAACTCATGCTTTATTATTTGACACATGCTGCCCAGGTGATCAAAATTATATCATGTATGATAAATATTAGGCGACAAATATGTGAAAAATAGTATATCTAATATAGAAAATTGATATTTCAAAGGGTGTGACACACGATGATAAATAACTACCCTTGAGAATCCTAACCATAGCCCCTGCGGTAAGAATAAGGAAATCACAAAAAATTTTCGTTACATAAAATGTCACAACCTTAAATTTAATATTAATAAAAGTTTATTGAGCAAGACTCCGTTGGATTTTTTTTTTAAAAAAAAACAAACTTAAATTTAATATTTTATTTTAAAAGTTTAATATAAATATAAAATAAATTTATTATATATAAATAATTATATAATTATCAAGTGTTACAAATTATAATGCATAGAATAAATTTTTATATTTTAAAAATACCGCAACGAGAAACCACCAATCTAATTACGGAATTTTTGAAAGAAATTCATCACCTAATAACCAGGAAAGTACCGGATGAATATTGAAACTCATTTCCATTGACTTTGTTTATAATAATACAAGCGAATTTATATAAATTGGGAACCATAAAACTTGTTTCGAAATCTAAACCACCAGTTGTGAAATTTAAATTTTGACCCTCTATGAACCAGATTTCGCCTACGTCTTCTTCAGCGTCCCGCACTATTGTTTGCTTAATTAAACATCTCTCCACTCTGAATGTAGAAGAATTTGCGCATGGAGGAACATAAGAACCTTTCCACCTCACTTTTAATATATTTCCTAGTTTTATAACGTCACCAGCAACTGGTTTACGAATGGTAAGACCAAAACCAGGATGGCCAATTCGGAAGGTTGCAGAATGATCAACTGAGAATTCATTCTCCACTATGGCGAAATAATTTAAAGGACTTGGTTTTACGAAATTACCGGATAATGGAATTCTAAATTTAACTTTGTTATATCCAACGTATAATGTGACATTTGTTGCAAGAACTTGATCTAAAAAAGTATTTTTTTGCAGGATATGAATATCAACAATAGTTTTTGAGGAGGAATGTATTTTAAGAGAAACTTTTTGACCAGGTCTCATTTGTTTACCAGCAATGTTTGTTAAAATCAATGGATATGGATTATCTGAATATGGATTTGGACTAGCCAGCGAAGAAATTACATGCAAGCAAACGATCAATAAGATGGCGATAAATAAAGATTTCATTGAGGACATAATTATTATTTCAAAAATGGAGGAATTAATTCATGAGAAAGATAAAAATTGCGAATAAAAATTATCGTGTTAGGATTCATTAAATTCAATTTCATCACAATTGCAAAATATTACAAGTTTACTTTTTCGGTTCACAGAAGTAGGACCAAAACTTTCAATAATGTATGACATGTAACAGGATTCTCAATAAAGAAATTCAGTGAAAGTGTTTAACCATAATTAGAATATTATGAATATTAATTTGTATTATGTACAATCCTTTTTCTTTGTAAATAAATGTACGTACTCTCATAAACGAAGCCGTAAATAATAATCGACGAAAGAGAAATATTTTATAACCTTTGAAATATTAAAGTGAAGAAAGTTATCCTTTGATCTACTTTTGAAGAACTGTGTTGAAATGAATTTAGAAAAATCATAATGTGGCTTCTGCTTTACCAAATTATTAATTTATTCATATTTATTCATATCAACAAATTCAAAGATCAAAACTACTTGTCGCCAGTTAAATTTTAATTTTGGCGAATTACAATTCAAATCATGTTTAAAATAATTAAATCATTAAATAATTACATTTATTATAAACAGAATGTATCTGAAAAGTATTAAATTTTAATTACGAATATTGAACCAATTTTGAAATAACGTATTCAACATCCCCTACAAAAACACCTTTTCGTGCAAAGTGATTTCGATACATAAATAAATAATTATCTATTGATTCATTATTTTATGCTTAAAAAATTAATAATTCATTAATAATTCATATTTTTGTACTTTAAAAATCCAATATCAAAGAATTTTGGAATTGAATATTTAAATTTTTACGAATTTATTAAATAAGGTTCCATTTGTAGTATTTTTTTAAACTTTATACTGATAATAGATTTTATGTTTTAATTTTACTGGGAATGATGATATTATTATGATACCTTCAGCAGAAACTGTTGTCATTAGTATTACTACATAATGTTTAGTATCCTTAGAATTTTTAGAATATTTTTTTACAATCTTAATTAAAATCAAATTATCCTAAAGTGTATGTATATATGATAAGATAAACATAAGTTATCAACTCATTTATTTTTACGACATTAAAATAAATATTATCTTATCTTCACTTGACTTTACTAATACCATCCCTACTAAATATTACGATAATTCTTCTAGTAAAAATCTTGATAGAATGAATCATTTCTATAGAGAAGAATTTAAAGAATTCAGAATAATTTCTTTGCATACTTTGTATTGTTAAAATGCTCGTGAAACAGTTATTTTTTTAGTCATTAATTTTAATTTTTTTTTCACTTCGAGCGTATTCAGAATTTTTCGTATCTTAAATTAGTAAATTATGATAGGATTTTCTGATGTATGAACTTTCCATGCAGATACACAAAGAATAGAAAGATTCAATTATGAAGGATTTTTAGGCGTGGTATTATATTAGATATTAAGATAGTTATATTTTTTATTATTATTAATTGTTAATTCTATCGGAGCGCTTGATTAATTTAATTACAGAATTGTGGGAATATAAAATAATAGTAAAATTGAATCTCCAACTACAACTTATTACTACTGGAAATTTTGTTCCGACACTTCATTATGGTTCATTTCTTCATTTCTGTAACTTGGTGACCTTGTGTAATTCAAAAATAACCTAAATATATATCTATTTGTATCAACAGAATAATACTTTGTGAAAATGTCATTGATGGTCAGATTCATTTATCCACCTCGAGAGCTATAAATAAGATGTACAAAAAAGTTTTCAACGCAGAAACACGGTTTCCCGTCCTTCGATTATGTGTTTTGATAATGAAATCATATTAGTGCAGTTAATAGAATAAAATATTTCTGTATTCTACATTTAATTATTGTTACGTAGGTACAGAGAATTTCGCACAACTTTGATCAAAATTAATATCATACAAATTTATTAATAATATGTTCAATCTGCTGCCAGTAAGTCAAGAAATAAGTCGATCTAAACTTGCCAAACTCGAAACCGATAATAAAATAGTAACAATATCATTCAATAATTCACAAAATAATCTAAAGGCACTGTGAGTAAGGTGGAGTAAAAGTATTAACACAGTATCAAATAATATTTAATAACATTTCACAATATTATGACACAAAAGATAAGTTTATTAAAATAAAAAGGATACACATAATAAAAGTAAAGTATCATTCTACGATTGAAATATTATAATGTTATCAGGGAATTTCGAGTGCTTCTTTACTTTTTTTGACTTCGTTCACGATTCATGAATTGTAGAGCGATTTTCTATAAGATATTTCTAAGATAGCAAGAAAGACTTTGTTCTTATCTACAAATTAGTATGTGTTTCATTGCGATAGCTATGATATTCACAGAGTTATTGCAGTTCGAGGAAAAACGTCCGTGAAAAATCATGCGTGCAAATCTCAGGTAAATTTTCGCACGAGTTTTTTTTCACAGACGTTTGCTTTAAATCGTAATAACTCAATAAATATCGCTTCTACTGTAGTGAAACATATATTATTCCGTAACCAAGAACAAGGCCTTTCATTCTATCTTTTAAAACCTTAGTAAAAGAATCGCTCTACATTTCATAAATCGCGAGCGAATTTGAGAAAACGTAAAAAACACCCGAAAATACTCCGGAAATTTTTGCTATTAAAATTTTCTGATGCGCGTTGTGTCTATTTAACATCCCTGAATGAAGTTAGTCTAAAGTTCATAACTTCAGAACTCTCGAAACTAATACCACCAACAATCATTTTTATACTTTCTCTTTTGTTTACATTTATCCCTCATCTTTTGTTCCTTCATATTTGTGCGTCATCATTCATCTTTCGGCGCAACAAATGGCTACACAAATGATCATCTATCACAGTTTATCATTACCAATTTGTAATTTGCATTTTTTTTGATTAAATTCATTATTATCAGTTCAGATAAAAAAAAATAAAAAAAGAAAAAATTTTTGCCTTACACACTATAAGTGAACAGAAAAATATCGTAATATGTCCAGAATGCAATCAAAGATATTATGTTTGGAGGTGGTGCAAACCATGTAACTCGAAACATTTTCAAAAAGATTTTGATAAATGGACAAGTGGAAATAACGCAATAGATAAGTTTATCCAAGATGCTCAAATAAGTGCAGATAATTATTATAAAGTAATAGAATAGATACTTTATGATAGATTTAAAGATATTGAAGAAATAACAAAGGTCGGATTTGGAACAATATATAAGCTACATGGATTGATGGATATATTGAAGGATGGGATGTTGAAAATCAACAGTGGAAAAGACAGGGTCAACGGAATGTAGCATTAAAAAAGTTTAATGATAAATTTGCAAGTTTAAATGAAGGTTTCCTTAATGAGGTAAAATATTCATTAATTTCAAGTATATTTTATTTTTGTTTTTTATATTATATTAACATTAATTTAAATAAAAATAAATATTATTTAGATAGCAATTCACTTGAAAGCATGGAATCAAACTGCTGTTCTCGAATTTTATGGGATTTCATAAGACCCAGAAGCACACAAATTTATTATGTTCTTACGTTTTCTCTGATGAAAATCTTGGAAAACTAATTTTAGTAATATTGATTGGAAACTAAAATTAGGCTATTTGCAAGAATTAGCATGTGATTTAAAGAATTTCATAAATTAGATATACTCCATCATGATTTTCATCCTGGAAATATTTTATCATCCAACTTTAAATATTATTCTTCCACATATATCTCAGATTTTGGTCTAAGCAAGTTAATAATAGAACGTGATGTAAAAAATCCCGAAAAGAGACAAATTTTTGGTGTTTTGCCGTATATTGCCCCTGAAGTATTAAGTGGAGAAGAATATACCAAAGCAGCTGATGTTTATTCTTTTGGTATTATAGCTTATGAGATTATTATTGGTTTTGCACCATACTACGATATTCCACATGATATAGATTTATCTAGAAAAATATGCAATGGATTAAGACCAAAAATTCCATTTCATATTCCAAATTTAATTACAAGGTTAATTATGAGATGTTGGGATGCTCGAATTACTCATCGTCCTACCTATGAAGAATTATTTCTTAAATTTTATAATTATAAGAAGGATTATTTGGAAAACAAATGTAAAAATAATAATGAAATTACAATTCAAATTGAAAATTCTGAAAAACTATCCAGAAACCTAAGATTAACAAATTCAACAACTCCAACTCCAATGAATTATAAAACACATCCAGAAGCAATTTATGCCAGTAGGCCTCTCAATTATTCAAGTCTTCCAAAACCTAAGAATGATGAATATTTTGAAAAGGAGTTTGATGAGTTAACGAAAACTACTTCCGCTTTAAGTATTGGAGAGTACCAATTATTTTTCTCATATTTTTTTTACTTTATAAATAAAAATCTATTTATTTGTTATTTACCCAGAAGCATCTGAATTATATGTACCTGATTTTAAATATTTTTAAATAATTTTAAATATGAGTTTAGAATGTATTTATAAAAATTGTACGTTAGATATAATTTATGAATAATACACATTAATCAAGAGATGATATTTTGTATACTGTGGTGACGACGAAAGATTGGTAAGGTGGTACGAAGATAGCAGTGCAGAAAACATGTGGTATGGGAACACAAATGATGGAAATGATGGAGAAGTACAAATGATGGAAATGATGGAGTTGTA